TATCCAAACCAATCATCTTCAATGCAGGTATCTCTTAAATAATGCATTTTTCTTTATGAAAAATGAATTGACAATTCAAAACAGTTGTAAGTTTAGTATCACAGAATAAATTGAAAGTGAGGAATGTAAATCATGTTTATCAAAATTGGGTAATCTAAAAAATGAATTGTACCATAATAATGTGCATTGACTTTTCTAGTATTATATAGGCTCATTGATATTGATTTAATTTTTCTATACATAATGGAAAGTGACAATGTCTAATGAATGTGATCATTGACTCTTGTATCAAGGATCTATAATCAGAGCTTAGGAAGAAAAAAGAGTTTGATATGCCTGTAGTAAGAGTAATGACTGAGTGTTTTGAATTAATAACATTAATGGTCTGTGCAATAGGTGAGTACATGCATGGATTGAGATTAGATTGCTGGAGCAAAGTCATCAAACCATGATATTTCTCGTGAGTCAAATAATAGACTTCATATTTCCTCGGATCTCTATGATTGCATCACCATTATCAATTGAAACAACATTGTTGGTTGCAGCACCAAATTCTTTAATCTGAATAGAAGTGAAAATTCAAGGTTATGATAGCATGTTTCCACTGTATGATTTGTCATTCCATAAAAAATATATAATTATGAGACTAATCTCAAGTCGAGCAGGGTAACAATTATCCAGCTCCTACCCTAAGGGTTCTCTACAAAATTTGAACCCTTATATTTTTGGCAGTTTATCCATCTTGGAACTCATATTGTCACCTGAGTCAACCCTTAAGTTACATGCATTCTAATTATAGATATTGACAAGTAATCTAGATTCATTAAAAAAAGTAAAAAGATACCATTACTTATGTGTCTTTCTAGCTCAATTACCATTGAAAATGCTCTGAATATTGGTGGTAGAGGATCCTTTAGCTAGTGGTGTGGCCCAACTTGAGTAAACTCCTTATTTAGGTTAGGACTTTCAAAAATTAGATTAGATAATTGTTCTCCCTATCTACCATATGAACATGGAACAGTGTAGTCGCATGCATATAATAACTAGTTTAAGATAGTTTAACTCAACTCATAGTATTTTCAGTTCAATGAAAACTGGTAATTGATAAATCTCCTAGCTTGAATGAATATTTTTCTTGTAAATATGAAATGAGAAATGCGGAGAACTGTGACATAAAATCGTACAGTTGTAGGGCACGAAATAATGGATGGTGGGTGAACCAAATGATGGGTTTTTTTTATAGGGCCTTCATTTTTCTCACCCTGACATGAGAAACAAAGATGCTAAAAGCCCAAAAAATAGATTATTTCCTATATCCCAAGGTGAAAGAGAGAAAGGGGTCCCAAATGAAAAGTGACAACTTTGCTTAGTGGGCACCTACCCTAATGATCATTATTTAAAAAACTCCCAAACAATCTCGTTCGGCAGGGCCTCATTTTCTCATCGCTCAAGTGCGACAATTTAAACTATTTTACAGAGAGGACATTGTTATTTTTTTGTTCCCCCTTATATTAGGAACATGGATTTCAGTATACGATTATGACCATTAAACTGCAAGTTTATATCTAAAATTAGTGAAATTGAAGACCCACATAGCTGCAATTGATACCTAGCAAAGGTGATTTGTAGAACAAAACAGGAAGAAAAAAAAAACAAAGAAAAAATAATAATAAAGAGAGAGAAAAGCAAGGTTATGATCTTCTATCTACTTACCATTTAAAGGGGAATAGTAAACATTATCAAAACTGGTTAGAACTTTGAAAAGTGCTTATAAAAGAAATTCAGTGATGAATACCAAACAATATATTAACCTCTGCCACGCTATCTTGTCAGATTAAGCTAGCACTTTTGTTTGTTGTTTGTTTCCTCGGCCAATAGCAATATACATGTTGATTTAGCACTAACACTATTCAATAAAGAAATGGGTCTAAGCTGAATTGAGTCACCATTTGTAAAATATCGACAATAAAAAGTTCTTGCTTAGGTGAAAAAGTGATTTTAGGCAAAGCTTTATATAGATATCTAATGCACAGTTTGAAAATATCATGTTCAAAGATACCTTCGTCCGTAAGGCATTGTTTAATTTGACAAAATTCAGTAAATTAAGCTTAATGGAAAAAATATAAAATTAGCCAGATTCTTATGTTGTTCCAAGTTCTCTGTATGGATTAAAGAAAGTATTTGTTGGATCAAGCACTCACATACACATATATACAATCGCAAAACAGTGAAGAAAGAAGGGAAGACATAAAGAAGACAGATATTATCTGGTTCATCTAATATGAGCTACATACGACAATGTTTCGTTATATTCTCTTTACTACACTTATTATAAATTTTTTTTTTTATATAAGGGGAATATAAATAGGCTTAGAAGCTCTAAGCAACCATAAATATTCACGAGCCCAAGTCTAAACTATTAAAAAAAATGATAAAAAAGCTCGAGATCCATAATAGTACTAGGCCCAACCCTCCGGAATGACTTCCCTAGACTTGCGCCATTCACCAGGGAGCGGGACTCTGTTGGTTTTCTTTGCATCTCGTTAACAAAAGTCATTATTTGAATGCGAAGTATAAATCATATCCAACAATACTTTGTAACAAATAGAGGAATAAATTAAGGAAAATCATTTTCTCATGTTACATTAGAAGAATTATTTCATGTAACAAAGACAATATCATAAGCGGGACCTACAAGCAAGAGGAGAGAGAAATGAGATAAATATAGGAACTTGGCTTCTTTAATGTTAAATGAGAGAAATATAACCTATAAAATAAACTATTCTGAACCATGTAATGTGCCTCTTTAGCTTTGGAAAATAGATTTTATCCACATTTAAGTAAACTCTCCCATAAATAAAAGGTTAAACTTCACATATATCTATTTTAAAATCCTAATCATTTTATTTATCACTCTGTGCGTACATACATATTGTTCTGGATGGCCCCAATCGGTTGGCTCATAAAGACAGGCTCAATGCCCCTCCACTTATCCATGTCAGCCTTGCCCCCCTTTGTCCCCATGCGACATATTTCCCAACGTAAGACACCAAAATGTCTTATGTTGGGATGCTACCTTTCTTTGGTAGCCTTTTCAGACCCCTAAATAGATGTTTTCACTCCACAGCTACACCAGCAGCGACTGCCACAAGCATAGTAGAAACTATAAAGAGTGTTGTAACAGCAATGGCAGGCGCCCTTAACACTTTTCAAAGAAAGTTGACTTGACTCGCCCTCCTATGCGAGCAAGGCATCCACTCTCCTTATAAATACCTCTTCCATCACCTAACAAGAGCATAAGATCTCTATGTATCGAACATCTCTAATTCACATATCACATATTAAAATGCTACAACAAGAAAAATTCAATTTGGTAAAGGGTTAAATTGTAAAACACTGGGAGGGATTAAATTTGGGTACCAGCTAACAACTCCACGATGTTGCTTATCAAGGTTATGTTTCGTTCCTTAGTTAACATTATGATTGGCATAACTTTAAATTATAAGTACTCTAAAGAAGAATAAAACAGCATGTACAGTTGAAGAAGATAATAAAATAATAAAAGTATCAATCCCTAGACACGTCGTTGTATGATTGGGCGTTTGTAGTTTTTGGAGACAAGACTGTCAGATTAACATTTTCTATACCCAATTCTTTATCTTCTCATGAAATAAGAAACTTAACATTATACAATAAAAATATCATAATACATTATGAGGCACAACTGTTCTGTACACAGCACTACATTCAAAGCATCTTTCTAATTATTAAATCATACGTATCTTCAGCCCAATAATAGACTCTTCTAAATAAAAATGATTAAGACTGCAACTTATAAATCTTTTGTTAAACCCTAAAAACTGGATTTTTCTCAACAACCGCCCAGAAAAAGATTAGGTAATATTTTATGTGTATCTTTCCAAACCTGAACTCCACTAGATGCCCTTTTTCCTATTCACAAGTTAATAACAAAAGTTGGTGAGTTTATAAAGTTCTATGGATTCATTGGGCCTAGTCAGAATCTCTCCATTGCCAAGCTGGGATTCTTTTGATGCTTACATATATTAGATAAAAATTTGAGTTTTTTATTGTACCCAAAAAAAAAAAAATTTGAGTTTTTTTTTTTTTTTTATTTCTCCACCGCTTATTCAACTATTCCGGTAAAGTAAGATTACATGGATGATAAAAATTTTCTTACCAAATTTTTTAACATAACTATATATTCAAGACTCAGATTCGAAATAACTGGTTAAAATAGAATAATCCATATTAATTAACCGATGTGTTTGGTGGTAAAATTATATTTTCTTTAAAAGATCGGTTGTAACTTCTAACCTCTAACTTCTAGCCTATGGGAATTTTCTATTATGTAAAGTAAAAAATAAAAAATAATAAACAACAGAAGCTTGTGTTTTTGGTGAACTAAAAGTAAAATTAAAAGAAAACCCAAGAAATGCCAGAAGTTATGGTTGACAAAGGTTCAAGTTAACCAAATGTCATAATCATTGCTAATTAGACTTTGCAGACATAAAAAAAAAGTGACCCCACTAATACAGCTGGTTACAACACAAGTGAGAATCATATCTACCAGATTACACGATTTAGTAGAGGTTAATTGATATGACCTTTAACGAGATTTTAGTGAAGACCCACGAAAATTCTTAGTGGTTTGATGTGATGTACGAATTATTAAGAATATAATATAGTAGAAAAGCGAAGAAGGATAATGAAAGCTGGTACAAAAAAAAAAACTTTGTTTAATTAGCATTATATCTTACACTTGGTGCCATATTAATAATAAGAATTTGCACCATAGAATACAGAATCGGTCCTAAGATTTTACAGTGAATGTTTGTAAAACAAAAAAGAAAAAAATTGAAAAAAAAAAAAAAAACTGCCCCAGAAGATTAGAAACTGAAATCATAGAAAAATGGAGAAAAGAAATGACTAATATAAAGACAAAAAAAGGGTTCTATTCAATAGACCTAGTAATAATAATTGGCTTAATAATTCATGGGGTTGTTGGAATTGAATCTTTTGTTGTATACAGCAATCTTCCTACTCCTCTGGGCATTAATTGAGGCGTAAAGAAAGGAGATCAAAGCTCAACTTTCATTTGGGGTGCTTGATTTGAACCTGCATTGGACCAAACAAACTTAAGGTTAATGTCAATTTTGTTGGGCCTAATGAAAAGATATTTCATTAACTTGTCTATAATTTGCGACTTTTTCTGCTTTATTACCGTTGAAACTTGGGGACTGTGATGGTGTTTTCCTGTTTGTAGTCTGGCCAAACCCCATCTGAACAATGGTATGCAGGTCATCCTCACAGAATGTTAATGGATACTGAGAAACATTGGACCAAAAAAGTTAGAAAAAGTTACAAGACAATGTAGTAAAATGAACCCTTTTTCCATTCATTTTAATTTGTAGAGAAAGTGGAAGTACCTGAGAGCCACTTTCATTAAACCCATTAAGGGAAGGTAACTGCATGCCAAAATTTTGGCACAAAGAAGTGTCTAATGGGTCCACTAAAGAGTGGGTCACAGTTCCATTAGGAATGTTATTGTGGATAGCTGAGTTTTGCTGGGGCTGGTGCCCATAAAAGGCTGGTGTTGAGGAATCTAATGGGAACATTGGATGTGCCAAAGAATTATTTGATTGAAATATCTGAAATCAACAAAAGCCAATAAATCCCAACTCAGGAAAAAGCAACACATTTTTATTGAAAAAGTTAAACCATTGTCTAGAGCACTTGAACTTACATCCTTTGATACAAGATTCTCAACACTAAGATCCATCCTTGGGTTAACATTAGCCAATTTCATAGACAGAAACTGTCATCAGGGAAAAAGCATAACTTAATGAGCAAGAAAACAAACACATCATAACAATCATTTGAGAATTGAGATCTTATTGGCCAAGACTTATTACCTCAACTTGACGCTGCAATGACTGAACATAGTTTATAATTTCATCAAGCATAAGTGCCTTACCAGTGACCTATACAAGAAAAAATAATTCACACCCAAATTAGTAAAAGTGCAAATTTATGAACATAAAGCCAACCCAATTTTAAATGTTGATCTAGCTTATCTGCACACCTTGTTGCAACCTGGTACAAGATCTTGTAGAAGCTTCATCCTCTCACTGATTTTCTCCCTCCTTACCTATTTTAAAATAAGATTACACAACATCAACATGAAGCCTACACAAGTTTATTGCCAGTGATATTCATTAAGAGCAAAAACAGTGATTCTTACACGTTCTGCAAGACTATGGCTATCAGTAGCTTGACCCCTTCTTGCTCTCACATGAATGTAATCTTTTGGAGGCTCAGGAGGTTTGGAGTTACTATTGTTCTGTTTCTCTTCCCCTGCATCATTAGAAGTACCTTCTTTGGACTCTTCCTCAACCTTCACTTGGCCATTTTCATTTGACTTGCTGCGCTTTGCATTTGAGTCTTCAGCACCTTTAACACCCTGAAGTGAAAGAAATACACATTGAGATTTTGTGAAAAAGCCCTGCGGAATCAAAAGTAGAACAAAATAGAATTTTGACTTAAAAAGTGCTTCTTACCTTGGTTGGATTGGTAGAGTTTGAAGTTTCTTTGGCTTTTCCTTTGGAAGAAGCTTTTCTTTTCCTGGAATTCATATCATGACAAGTTTTCATTCCTGTTTCCCCGTTTGGGGTTTGCTCAGATATTGTAGATTCCTCTTGAGAATTAGCTACTTCCATTCTCTCCTGATCCTGCAATGGAGAATTCTTGTTCTCCTGTGCACCCATTTGAGATCCAAATGTTTTGAGTGATGGGCTACTTGAGACTCTAGAAAGTTTCTCTCTTTCCATTACTTGAGCAGATCTCAAAGCTAATTCAGCATTGTTCATCACCAATTGGCTACTCCTGCCATTGAAACTCCTGCTACCAAAGCAAGAAAACTTTGCAGCCCTTTCAACAAACCCAGGATCAGCTGAGAATTCAGCCACACTGGTATTCAAACCAATTGATTTTCCTCCCAAACTGGGAAAATTCTCTTTCACCAAGTGGTTCATCACTGGGGTAATGTTGAGCTTTGGAGGAGAGCTCAAAGGGGTGCTATAACATGAAGTGTTGGTGCTGTTATTGTCATTAATGTAAGAAGATGGCATAACCAAAGGTTGAGAATGTGGTGAGATCTCATCAGTGCTACCAATATTTCCCAATTTCCCTATCAATTCCCTCATCATGAAATTCTCATTTGACATCATGTTGGGATTGGATGATGCAGGGGATGAAACCATTGAACTCAGTGCAGAATCAAACTGAAGACCATGATCCATTGACTTGTCCCATGTGGGGTTGTAAAAGCAATCATGGGTTTGCTCAGGGGAGCAATTCAGAACTGTTGATTGAATTTCCATTGCTGATGCAGATAGTGAATGCCATGTGGGCATAGAAGAAGGTGGTGAAGGTGAAGGTGAAGGTTCAAAGTGGAGGGGATGGAACACCCCAGCATTCAAAGAGAATTGATTATCCATAAAGGAGGAATTTTGCAGATCAAGGATGACACAGAAACAACAGAAATGAACTGAATTTTGAGGCTAGTGAAACTGAATGTCCCCTGAAACCAGAAGCAAAATGGGTGTGATCTGTGAATCACATTAGAAAACAAAGAGAATTTATAGTAGTTGCAGCAATGTGGCAGCAAAGGAAAAAAGAGACAATTGTTTGAGTAATTGGAGTGATGATGTTCAATAAATGAGATTTTGGGGTCTTCAATTCAATTGGGTTTGTTGGATTGGAGTTGAAAGGGGAAGACTTGAGTATGAAAAGGGAAATGTGTATAAACAAAAAGCTGTGAAAGAGAGAGAAGGGAAAGGGGGGAAGAGAATAGATGGGGTTGTCATGGGGTTAAATAGACCCAAATCCAAAGGCCAAAGAGAAACTGTGTGTTGACCATGTACTATTATTATTATTATTATTTTCCTTATCATCTCTTGTAATATTAAATTAAAATTAAATGAATAATTATAAAATAACATCAAATGTGAACTGTTAATTTAATTTTAAACAAAAGATAATAAAAATAAACGTAAGAAATTGTTAAAGAAAAATAATAATAAATATAAATACCCTATTATTATAGGAGAATAATTTTCACATGTAATCTTATGTGAGATGATCTCAAATAATTAAATAAACCAACGATAAAAAAAAAAAAAGAGATACAGAACATTAAGATAGAATATAATCATTAATTTATCAATGAATAAAAAAAAATTATATGATATGAGATGATGTTTTCATTATTAGTATTAATATTTTATTGATATGGTAAGGAGTAGTGAGTGAGTAATAAGTTTTATATATATATATAATATATATATATATATATATATATATATATATATATATATATATATTTTCAATATGTCTCTCCATAATTTGTGAGTAATATCTCTCTCCGTAAAAGACGGAGGAGAGGGTGTTGCTGCCGGGCATTGGACGCCAAAACACCCAAATGTCTCATTTCATTTTCTTGGAATTGGCAGAGTCCACACTTTCCAGACCACCGAATGGAAGCCAGGAAGGATCGACAGCTCTGCTAAACTTATTCTAATTTTCTTCCTTTTTTTATTATTTTTTTGGGTGTATTTATTAATTTGAGTGTATGTACTTGGAAATAGTGTATCCGTCACTATTGTTTAAATTTTCTTGGAAAAATTAGTTAAGAATAATAAAATTCAAATACACACACTTCTACGGTGAATTAAAATTCTGTAGGAATTTTTTAGAAATAAATTATTTTTCCTTATGAATATCTTATTTTGACTGGGTTCATTTTTATTTTTATTCAATTAATTTTTCATTTATTTTTTAATGATTTCTTATTTTTATAAAATATTTATAATAATAAATGAAGAAAATGAAAAATAGATTTGTATGCAATATTAAAATACATAAACAACTTACAAAAATTTTCAAAATAAAAAATATATTCTCATTAAATTAAGTTCTAAAAATTAAGTTTTAAGTTAATTGTCAATATCTATGACCAATGGTCAATGATACTGACTGATGGTGTTGGTGGCGGCTAGTAAGGGTGGCTGACTGAAGTGGTGATTGTGGAGGCTGGTGGCTAAGTTAGCGATGAATAGTGACAATTATTATAGCTGACTGATGACAGTGATGATTGGTGCTTGGTTGTTAGGGAAGCAGGTGGTAAGTTGATGGTGGTTGGTGCGATGGTAAGTGGGCATGGTCGATGGAATGATGGTGGTGGTGGCGTCAGTGACTGGTAGTAATTATGGGGACTGATCGATGACAATGGTGATTGATGTTTGGTGGTTGGGGGTGGTAGTAGCCGGTGATGGTGGTGGCGGCTGTTAACTTAAGGTAATGGCCAGTGGCGATGGTGGTGGCCGATGATAACCATAGTAAGTGGTAGGGGTGGTCGATGTATGGTTGCGACAATGATGATGGCTAGACAGTGGCAAAGGCTGACCCTCACATGCCTAGCAAAGTTTGTAGGAGAAGAGCATATGGCTACATTTTAGATGAAAGGAATATGACATTTATTATCTTATCCTATCCATTTATAACCTGAATCCTCCTTAGGATAGCTTATCCAACTGTAGACAGGGTTAAATGAGCCAACAAGATAAGCTTATCATATTCAATGGATAAGAGCACGATATGATAGCCTATCATGTATTGTCATCTCTATCTTGACCACTAAACATAGCCTGAGTTTTCTAGGGTTATCTAATTCATCTGACACTCTCTTTCATTTTTTTCAATCTCAAGCCTAAATATTTGTTAATACTCAGTGTGACGGTTTCTAGGAATTCATTTTTGCCTCCTTACATAGATAACTTTTTTTGTAAATCAAGTGTTTTCTTCTTCGTCTTTTGTAGAGGATAATTAAGATAGAAGGCTTAGATATCACAAAAACTTGGCATGACAAATAAAACATACTTGCTACCTTACACTAAAAAAAGAAAGAAAAGAAACTGATTAGAGGGTTGATCCACTTTAACTCGCCTTTATATCGGGCTGGTTCTATTGGGTTAGCGGGTTAAAATGTTCATACCAAACCGCCAAAATAGGTTGGTTAAACGGGCTGACTCGACAGGTCAAGCTCGTTTTGCCACCCATATTTTTATTATAGGCAAGGATCGAAAAAATGAAAGAACGAATCAATCGGGTAAATTTTCTAACACAATGCTTAAACCATATTAGTCAGGTAATGGATGAACCAATTGATTTTAAAAAAATAAAATAAAAATAAAGCCATGAATTGTGTACGTTGAGGTTTAGTTACTTAATTCATGTCCTTAGCCTTGTCTCTCTTTCTATTAGCCTCATTTACCACAAGAGGCCTTATGACTTCATATATCAAAGTTGTTATCTAATAAAAGATTTTCACCGACACTCTATTTGATTTTATAGCACATGCAGAAAAGGTTGACTGTATTGCACTATCAGCTATGTTTTCCAAGCCTGTAAGGGTTCCTACGACCTAAATGTTGTAGCAAATTCTTTTGTGTTTTCCCTTAAGTTACTAGAGGCTGGAACAATGGGTGTATTTGTCAAAGAACTCATGATTGCAAAAGGAATAGAATGGATTCTAAAAACACATAAAGATCTTAGAGATATGTTTACCTAAACTAAAAGAATATTGGAGATATTCAATCGAGAGTCAAATTTAAGTGAGTGATGAGTAATTAAGTTCTGCATGAGTTAAAAATGTACTAAGTTAAAAACACCTGTTATATTTGAAATCACTCATAAATATAATATCTTAAGATTTTGTGTTAAATTGTAGTATCAAGTTGTAAAATTCACTTGTTAGAGTTATTATAGCTGAATATATACATTTTACCAAGCCTAGAAATATAAAGGTAAAGAAAAAGACACGAGGTTTTTACTTGGTTTAGAAGGGAAAAGGTTTAAGGGAAAAATTCACTTGTAAGTTTCATACGTTTAAGGGAAAAGGTTTAAACTCCCCTAGCTTTTGCAATAGATTAATAAAGTTATGTATAACAGGTAAAATCAAGCCATATGTATCACTAATTGCACGGAAAAAAAGCCCCAATTTACACACCCAACCTCAAGAACTCTAAATTTCCCTACTACATAGATATCTTATTGCAATAACATATTAAACCAAAGATAGCAAGCAACATTACCAAATCGTTGAAGCACTAGTGTTCGAGCAAGATGTTAGAGAGCCACACGAGACAAGTCCACTCTTCTTGAACCAAGAATGAACCTGATCATTACCTCCACGAACCACATACCAGGTACCTTCTACCAACCAACCATGAACCATCTAAGGAGTATCGAGGAAAAAGAACAAGGATCACAAAACTAGCAATTCGAGCACAAGATTGAGTTTCTTGGAAAGAAACCCTAGCAGAGCCTTTTGGGAGATTTTTGAATTGCTCACAAAATATAGAGAGATAATTAGAAAATATGTGTGTGTATGTGTGTGAATAAGTGTTATCAACCTATGTATTATATATATATATATATATATATATATATATATATATATATATATATATTTAGGCACGAAACGCAAAATATAGAAAAAGGCAGAAACAACAGTTAGGGGATAAAAACAAAATGGCCACTTAAGCAAGTAAATGACATAAGGTTTGGGAAACAATTTCTCACGAATTCCACCTTGTTTCACAAAACATCATACTTGTAACACCCTAATATTCTACATTCCTTTATAGTATTTATATTAATTAAAGGTGAATAGTGTGACTTCAAATCTTTTCATTAATATTATTCAATAACTAACTCTAATTCATTTACAAATAATATTTTAATTCACTTTTTTATTTCAGGAAAAAATAATCTATGAATAACAAAGTGTTAGTAAACAATTATATGGGCCTATTTGAATTTTATTTTCAAAAATAGGTTTTTGATTTTCAGAACAAAAAAAAATCTTGTTTGATAAGGCCTATTCTGTAAAAATATTTCTAAAAATTGTAACTATTTTATAGTTTTTAAAATCAAATTTAGAGAATGTATCTGAGTTGTTGTTGTTTTGTGTTTTGACTTTTATGTTTCAAAACAAAAAAAAAACATAAAACACCTATTTCACTAACTATTCTACAAAACAGTTAAAAAAAAGAACACAATCAAACAATATAGTTCTCATTTTTTACTAATGCTATTATGAGTTCAAAAATACCTTCATTACCAAAATGACAAATTGAAGACCGAGATACAAGTTCTTTCACCTTATCCAACGCTTACTTACGAGTTTTTGGAAAAATGAAGTCTTTATGTTCTGTGTAATTCTATGCAAGGAATCAAATGTAAAATTAAATGCTCATGGTAGAAAGCTTTCCTTTACTTATTATAAGGCTTTTAATTAGTTCCCCCTTGTGGTTATCCAAATGGCTAAACAAATAGTTAATAAGATGATAAATTGACTCGACAAACGAATAAGGTAGTTGGAGGTATGTGTTATGATTCACAATACAAAATTCCATGATTGTGCAGTCATACCCATATTATTTCCATTGCTAGATCAACCTTTCAGATACAAACAAGGAAAAACTACAAAATATATTGAGATGGATGAATTAC